TAATGAAAAAAACTAATTTCCTTTGGCTACAAACACCAGTGGCAACTATCAACAATGACAGACAGTGTGGTCCAAACCATAGAGAATTAGTAGAAAACCATTAAGAAATATGCGTATTCTATAGCTCCAGACTTTGACTATAAAGAGTAAAAACTGTTCTAAGAATGTTATTGGCATAACTTTTCATTCAGTCTTTCATTTGGGTCTAATCCATAGCACAGAACATCCTGATCCACTGCTGCCGAGACCTCGAGCTGTTATTTTAATAGTTTTTTTCCCCCAAGGCTATAAAATGTACTTTGAAACTTGACTTTAAAAATAATTCAAAGGCTAACAATAAACTTTCCCTGAACAGAGCAACTCCAGTAAAAACTGCAACCACGATTTTCATGCATGCATGTATATAAATTACTTTGAATAATATTAAACTGGATGGTTCCTTTATTCTAAGGATTCAGTTGATCAATACTTTTGTTATGTTCAACTGAGTAGACCTTTTTACACAACAGGAACATAGACTGTTTCGACGCGTGTTTGTTTTAGTCTCATAATGTACAGGATGTAACAGGATTGCGTTTGTGTGAGTGCCACACTCCTTCAGAGTGAAAAGATTGAAAATATATAAAAAATAAAAGAGAGGACTTACTTTTGGTTTACCCATATAGTAGCACATGGCATGCTGATGACTGATGTCATTTACATTGTGTGATGTGACAAACAGATTTTTCAATTCCCCTGCCAAGCTAAAACGTTTTCGGTAAAAGGGTTGCGCGCATGTTGTGGGACACACTTTTAGTGACAAATTAGTTACTGTTATTTAAAATATGTTTATGATTTAACAAATAGATTATACCATTACAAGAGACATATCAATAGAATAATTCCAAAAAAAGTAAATAAAAACCCTATTTTAATGTTATATTTGAGAAATAAACTTACATAATGTGAAAAATTGATTTTATTTGAAGAGAGAAAAAAAATTCAGACATTTTCAATTAGTATATTTAATGTAATATTCAATCCAGAAATCAGGAGATAACAAAAACTGGTCCAATTTGAAGTTCTCGAGACAATATAATATTCCAGCTTTCATTAATTATTTAATTGTACATAGCCTATGTATCTCTGACATGCTAATTAATGAAGACAACTAATTTCCTTTGGCTACAAGCACCAGTGGCAACTATCAACAATGACAGACAGTGTGGTCCAAACCATAGAGAATTAGTAGAAAACAATTAAGAAATATGTGTATTCTATAGCTCCAGACTTTTGACTATAAAGAGTAAAAACTGTGCTAAGAATGTTATTGGCCTAACTTTTCATTCAGTTTTTCCTTTGGGTCTAATCCATACCACAGAACATCCTGATCCACTGCTGCCCAGGCCATTCGCTCTGTGCTAAATGTTGCTGCCCACTGTCCTGACGGAGAAACGGCTATAGCGCCTCCTGCACCATGGACACGGTCTCCCATGTACTGCAGAGACAACTGGGAAGAATCTGCTAGAGATTTACCTGTAAGAAAATATGGAAATCAATGGAAAATTAATATTCAGGGAATCAATGTGTGGTCATGTCCTGCTGTCATTGTCAAAACAAATTAGACCTTCTTAAAACTTGCAAACCATTGTCAATGGAAGCCAGAATGTACAGCTAAAATTACATCAAATGGGGACCTCATAGTAAACAAGACAGTAAGACCGTATTTCATTATTTGAGTCCCACACTATCTAACTTTTCCTCATTTGCCTTTGGTCTAAAATATAGGCTTGTTCTAACTAACTAACTAAACCAACTCTCTAATAAACAAGCTCATTTAATAACTGCAGCCATAGTTATAATGACTACGTTCACATCAAATCAAGACCAGATAAAGTCCGACCCATATGTGGCCTGTCTTAAAGGTGGGGTAGGTACCGGAAAAAATCGGCCACTAATTACAGAGCCCCTCCTCCAACACACACGAACGCGCACATGACCAATGAGGGCACGAGATAAGTTTGTGCACGAGATGGAAGGCTGACAGGCAGGTAGGCCATCCAGTTATTTTAGCCGGGCCGGCTAAAATTATTGGTCGTGCTTTTTACAGTACTACGGCTTCCACAGATTACATTTTTGTATGGATTTTTTGTCAAAGCACTTAAGATATTCATTGCTATCGGGATGTTAAGAGCATTCCATGGAATATAACAAAGTGTATCTCGAGCCGGTTTCTCAAACTTACCTACCCCACCTTTAATGTAGAGAGTTTGAAAGTGTGATATTTCACCTTGTTCAACATGTGAAAGAATGAGTCTGGCCAATGTCACTTTGAGAATAGATTCTCCATGGCCGGTACACGACACTGCACCACTGAGGTTGTCTGCATATCCTCCAGAGCCTAATTTACAAGAAAGAACACGGGAGAAAAAAACATTTAATCTACTTTTATTTTGCTAGATTTCACACATTGGTGTCCTTAAATACTATAAAAAGGTTGGGAGTGCAACTGAAATGATAAATGTTCTTTTACAGTGAAAGTGAATGAAGTCATACCAATGATGGGACAGTCTCCCACTCTGCCAACCATTTTATTTCTGATGCCTCCAGTTGATGTTGCACACGCCACATTACCATCAGAGTCCACAGCGACTGCCCCAACAGTATCATGGGCCCTGGAATGACAACAAAAGGACGTAAGGGATAACATATTTAACTTTGCATATAACAAGCAATCATCACGTTCTGCAGTATTACCCTTTATTAAACTCTCTTTACACAAGCACATTCTCTGCCTAGTAGGATCCAGGGTTATATATATTGTATTTATGTTTTATTGGGTAGTATCCCACCATGCTATTTAACATGAAAAGGTGATGTGAAGAATGAATTAAATTAAGAATAGCATGGGTTAAAGGATGAAGGTACTTGCCACTGAGAGTTGAAATCCTCCATAACTCCAGTTACATAGTTTTTTTGTTTGTCCCACTCTTTCCTCTCATTCTCAGTCACCAGTTCATCAGCGGGGACGGTGGCCATGCCAATACTCTCTGCAAACAGGTTTGCACCTCTGCCTGCCAGTATGACATGGGATGTCTGACATGTTCAATGGCAGCAGACATGTAAGAAAAATGTAATGGATTTGAAAACCGTTTCATTATCCTGCAATACAATAATCCGTACAGAAAAATAATAATAAAAAAAGGATTCAGTCCAAATCTGTATATTTCTTATAGTTATTGGTCTTTACTGTTTCTTCAAAGAAAGACAAAAACAAGTATTTAAGACAACACCTTTTCCATCACTGCCCGTGCCAGTGACACAGGATTGGCGATGTTCTTCACTGCAGCCACGGCACCACAGGCAAGTGTCCTTCCATCCATGATAATGGAATCAAGCTGCACTTCTCCTTCAGCATTTAGTGCTGCTCCATGCCCTACAATCACAAAACATAACTATAGTCAGCGTGTGAACTGAAGGTCTTTTATCTGCAAAGAAACTAAATGAAATTCAAGAGCAACGGACAGAGAGGGTGTGAGAAAAACAGGCTTTTCCTTCCTTCTTTGGAAACAGAGGCTTTATGCTGCCTGCTACATCCTCTCATATCCACAGGGTGGTGACACAACAGTTTAAAAACAGCACAGTACTGTGAATGACACGTTATTGATCAACAGATTGTATTTACTCGTACACATTTGTTTGGTACATAAAACACCTTTTAAAATGTATATTAGTTTCGATTAATTCAACAGCTTTTAAGTTCTGCAATGTAGTTTAGATAAAACACACAAAACTACTGAAGCACAAAATAAATATACTGTGCTATCAGTTTATCCATAATTTGTCATGCCTGAAAACTGTCCATTTACAGTAAATTGACTTTGTAAAGGTTCTAAGTGAAAAGATTTCACGATTAAATAGATGTTTTTAATTTTAATTGTCCCCAAAAGGTGACACTCATTGAAGCACACATATTATAATAAATTAATATTAGTATTATATTAGGGTTTAACACGTAAACATAATTTAAAATGCAGATGTGTTTTGGGATCAAAACACATTTGGGATGAATACCAAAGTATAAGGATGAGCCCTTCTATCAGTCAGTAACCTGACCCCTACTGATCATCATCACTGTGATTCTTTATCAGATGAATGTTGGCATCCCCACCAGCAGATGGAGACGTTGAGCTACACACAAATGTAACTGAATGTTTGTGCATATAATTTGAATGGGAAGCGTCTATAGTCATATCTACTCCTAGTGCAGACTGCATGGCATAAATGTTTAAATATGGGAATGTGAACTGGTATTTGTGTACAGTATACCTGCATTAAACGCACGGTTATCCTCCATAGCCCTCACGGCTGCCTCAACAGAATCCAGAGCACTTCCTCCTCCTTTCAGCACAGACGATCCTTGACGTGCTGCAGCCTTCACTCCATCCACAGAGGCCTTGGCCAGGTCCTCAGGTATGGCCCACGCCCCCCCATGCACCACCACCACTGCTGACATCCTCCTGCAGGAGAACACAGTGTTAAAGTATGTTTTATGACATCTTTAATTTTCCTCAGCCTTGGAGGGTTAGTCTAACTTTTTTTTAAATCAAATCGTAAATGAAAAATAATAATTTTTGTTTATTTAAAAATAATAATACCATTGTTTTACATTTCAAAATGTTCATAGGTTACAGTAGTGCATTTCAGACTTATTTTAACTTCTTAACCTTGAGAAAAACCTCACATCTCAAATTCAGGATCATGTCACATCTTCAAAACTCAATTTAAGTAGATCTCGAGTTGTTGTTTCAACCGTTTTTTTTTTCCAAGGCTAAACATTTACTTTGAAACTGGTTTTTAAAAAATAATTCAAAGGCTAACATTAAACTTTCCCTGACTCCTAGGACGCTGGTTATGTTCCAGATAAGAGATCAACTCAGTGAAAGCACCGCCTGCTGACCAATCAGGGCTCTATGTGTGGAGTTTAAAGCTATCAAGTCATATTAAAGGATAACATAAATACAGTGTTAACTGCTGTATGCAGGAAAGAGCTAGGTCCGGCAAAAATCACCGACTGTGTGAACATGAAAATTAATAGAATATCACCTCCCATCTTCAGAGAAATCGGACTATTCTTACATTAGCCTTAAGAAAGCTTACTTAAATATCTGCCGCCACAACATAAGTAACCGGATCAAAGTAACATTACGTACAGTTCCCGACACTGTGAGTGCAGACGTCGATGTGTCCCATTATCATTCATATCACATCATCAATCACATCATAATATATCATATATTCCCTTATCTGTGTCAGCTTCTCGAGCCGTATCTGGCCGTGCAACACTTACATTGTCAGATAGCCTACTGGCAGAAGTATTTTTTTAAACAACACATGAAGTTGATGAAACACTCAAATCAAATGTAATTAAAGTCAGATCCACTCGTGTCTTGGACGGGGCAGTGATATCACAAACCTGTTATACGCATTCAACCACCGGGTCATTTTTCTTCTTCTTTTTTCCCGCTGTTCTGTATTCACCTTGTAGCTGCAACTATGTTGCTTTCATCCTGCATCAAGTGTTTAATTTATGGGTGTTTAAAGTTTAACTTCTTCATATATGTGTTTTGTCTAACATGATAGTCTACTTTTCATTCCAAACGTTGTACCTTTAATACAGTCTTTCAATGTTTACACAACAGAGCTGAGTATCATGGCATGCAAAACATGTTATGTATAAAAGGTGTGAAAGAGGGTCCTGGGAGGAGAAACGCTAATGGGGAGGAATACACTTACCAGCTATCGTATTACTATAGTTTTTTCTGTAGTGCCATTTTACTAGCTATAGTAGCCCTATAATATTGCAATAGTAATACTATGTATCTAGATCTTTGTAGTATTCCTATATTATTTTAAATAGTATAACTATAGTATAATATATAGTGTTTCTGTAGTTGTTTTTTGAACACACCACTCCTACAGTAATAGCATGAAATTGTCATAGTGAATGCATATTATTATATCGTGTTTGTAAAAGTAGTACTATAGTTTTTTTTTGTTGGTGTTTCCGTATTAAGACTATATTATTTTAAAATAATACTAGTATAATATTTAGTGTTTCTGTAGTTGTTTTTTGAATACACCATAGAATACTCCTATAGTAATATATGATATTGTCATAATGAATGCATATTATTACTATAGTGTTTGTAAAAGTATTACACTCCTAGAATTAATGTGTCATTCGTTTAACACACTGCTGTGTCAAAGGCAATTCAAGAAATTCAGTGTCATTTCTGAACTATCTTACATGTGTGTACATAGAAAAAAAAAAATGCACATAGTCAACACCAGAGCCCTCTCTCTAGGGCAGTGGTCACCAACCTTTTTAAGCCCAAGATCACCGACCTCGGCCTAGGTGAAAGGCGAGATCTATTGCAGAATTGAGTGAAAAAGACGGCCCAGACAGTGCTTCCAATTTGAGGCCTTTTATATAGGCTAATTGCATCTGAATTAC